CAGGGGCCCCCGCGCTTTTCGTCATTCCCTGGGTGATCGTCAGGTACCTGTACGAGAACACGCAGTGAGTTGCAGGGTCTGGGTCGGGGCCTGGGAGGGGGGCGGGGCTCTGAGGGACGTGGGCGGAGATCCCCAAACTTGGGCAAAGGTGGCTGAGGCGAACGTGGGCGGGGGTCTGAAGGAATGGGGAGTTGCAGGAGGTTGTGTTGGAGGACGCCTGGAAGGGGCGGGGCCTTCCAATAGCTGGTGGGCGTGACTTTAAGGATTGTGGGTGTGGCTTAGGGTGTGTGGGCGTGGCCTGGACAGCCCGCTGGTTTTGCGGGAAAATCTAGACTTTTCCTCAGGTCTCCCCTGCCTCCCCCAGGTGCTGGGAGAGGAACGACGTCAAGGCCATCTGGTGGATCATACGCACTCCCATCCTCATAACCATCTTGGTATGGACTGTTCCGCTTCCTCCAGGCCTTACTCAAGAATTTCCCATTCTGGAGATCAGGGAGTCATCTCCAGCCCCCCAGAATGGGTCGTGTCTGGCTCAGCCTCTCTCTCCTTGCAGATTAATTTCCTCATCTTCATGCGCATTCTTGGCATCCTTGTGTCCAAGCTGAGGACACGGCAGATGCGCTGTCCGGACTATCGGCTGAGGTGAGGGTGTTGAGGGGGACCCCGGGTGAGGAGAACCCAACTCAACGTATGGTGGCCCAGGCCCAGGGACCAATGCCGCGTCTGTCCCCAGGCTGGCTCGCTCCACGCTCACGCTGGTGCCTCTGCTGGGGGTGCACGAGGTGGTGTTCGCTCCGGTGACCGAGGAACAGGCCCGGGGCGCCCTGCGCTTGGCCAAGCTGGGTTTTGAGATCTTCCTCAGCTCCTTCCAGGTGCTCGGGCGGGACCGGGGGGCTGCAGTCCTCCCGAGTGGGGTATTACGATGGGAGTTTGTGCTTTTATTCATTAATGCACACAGCGCAAAACAATGAGCTGGAGCTACCCTGGGCGGGGGAGGCAGCTGGACCGAGGCTGGAGACTGCGGCCCCGGCAGTACTGACGCAGCACACAGTAGTCACTTCCAAGGAGCTTTTCAGCTGTGTGGCCTTCACCTCTGGGTAGAGACCAGGATGAGGAAAGTGGGATGCCTCCCGCACAGAAAAAAGAAAGTGCTCAAATCGAAGCTCAAAACTTAAAATTCAAGCCCGTGCTGCACTCACTGGCTTTACCTCAGTCCCTGCATTACCTCACCTCCTTGGGCCTCAGTCTTGTCATCTCTAAAGTGGGGACAATACCAGTCTCACCTCACAAGACCTCATTCATCAAATTCGGCAAAAACTTATTGAACACATCACCACTAAGCTCTCTTCCAGGCTTATTGTATCTCTTCCAGGTGGAGATACAGCCAAGAACCAAATGGTCCATAACTTCTGGGAGACAGACAGACACTAAACACACAGTATGCACAATGTCACAGTTAGATGTGCAGGCAGGGGTGGGAAAAGTGATGCAGCCAGGTGTGGTGCAGGCCTGTAATCCCAGCATTCTAGGAGGCCGAAGCAGGAAGATCTAGCCTAGCCTAGGCAACTTAGCAACTTAAGTGTGTCTGAATAAGATAATTTTTCAAGGGTGGGGGATGTAGCTCAGTATGAAGACCCTGGATTGAATCCTGAGTTGGGGTAAGGAGCAGAGTATGCAGGGAAAGATGGGAGTGCTGTTTTGGACAGGAGGTCAGGGAAGAAGGACGTCCTAAGGAGACGCTGGAGCAGAGTGCTGAGGAGGTGAGGAACAGTCAGAAGGTATCTCAGGATGCTCCAGAAAAGAGGTACTAGGCGTGAGACCCTGAGGAGGAGAATGGCAGCATTACAGAGGGAGGCCAGGGTGCCAGAGGCCAGGAGGGGGAGATGAGGACAAAGAAGTAAAGGGACCTTGGGGACTGAGCCAAACCTGTTTGGTGGCTTTAAATTATTGATTAATTTTTTTTTTAGACAGGATCTCTATGTAGCCCAGGCTGGCCTCCAACTTGAGGCTGTCCTGCCTCAGCCTCCCAAATGCTGGGATTACAGCTGTGCACATGGCCAATTTGTAAAATTTTAGTTTATGTTTTGGTGGCACTGGGGATTGAACCAAGAGCCTTTTAGAATTTTTGATTAGTTCTTAATCTTCGGACAGGGTCTCTCTATGTTGCTTTATTGCCCAGGCTGGGCTTGAATTTGCCATCCTCTTGCTTCAGCCTCCTGAGCACTGGGATTACAGGTGTGAGCCACCAGGTCCAGTACTCAATTTGGTTTTCCTCTGCTAGAAGAGGAAGGGTGTGATCTGAGTTTTGATATTTAAATTTATCTGTTAGTCATCAAACAGAAATAAGCTATTTACTTATTTTAATGTTGAGGATTGAATGCAAGGCCGTGAGCCTGCTCGGCATGGCTGTCACTGTGCTATAGCTCAGCCCTGTTTTGTGTTTGTTTAAGTTCAGAGGTGGAACACGTAGAAATATGAACTATTTATACTGAGTGGTGTATAATATTGAGTTACAGTAAGATTAAGAAAAATGGCCGGGGATTTAGCTCAGTGGTTCTGCCACCTGCATCGCAAGCACAAGGACCCGAATTCGATCCCTGGTCCCCCCCCCCAAAAAAGAAAAAGGTTAAGGCTGGGCATGGTGGTGCATAGCTCTAATCTCAACACTGGGGAGGCTGAGGCAAGAGGATCATTGCAAATTCGAGGCCAGCCTGGGCTACATATTGATTCCCTGTCTCAAAAATAAAAGCTTAAGGCTGTATGCCAGGCACGCCGACTTCTTGCATATTAACTACCTTAATTCTCACAGCTACCACTAGATAGTAAAATAGAAGGCCCATTTTCCAGATGAAGAAACCGAGGCACAGAGAGGCTAAGCAGCTTGCCCAGAGGGTACAAGTAGGAAAGGGGTCTTCACACTCAGGCCGCCTACTGCCCGGTTCCCTGTTCTTAGCCCCTGTTGCGCAGCTAACCGGCAAGGGCAGGGGGAAAGAGTTTGGGGCTAGAGGTCAGATGACCACCAGGGTAGGACCAGGATGGGGACATCCAAAGGGCTCTGGGGCCAGACAAGGGTTGGGACACATTAAGGGGTGGTTGCCACACTGTCCCTGCCCCCACCCCATCTGACTCCCGCGCCTCCCCTGGCAGGGCTTCCTGGTCAGCGTCCTCTACTGCTTCGTCAACAAGGAGGTAGGAAAGGTCCGTTCGCGCCCTCTGGCGGCCGCGCGATGAACGGCGCCGCCCCTGAGCCCCCTGCTGTTGCAGGTGCAGACGGAGATCCGCCGGGGTTGGGACCACTGTCAGCTGCGCCACAGCCTCGGTGACGCGCACCGCCAGCGCCCAGAGCGCGTTTCCAGGGGTTCTAACCCCGCCGATGACCCCATCCACCACGCCTTGTCCTCGAAGTCGCTTCCAGGGCCTGGAGATGAGGTCTTGGAGAGTTACTGCTAGGTAACAGGAAGGCTGCGTCTGTTCAGTATTGAGGGCCGGCTGTGTACCAGAATCGATGTGGGAGACGCTGGGGAAATGGGAGCGAAGGAAACAAGACAAAGTCCTTGCCCTCCTGGAGATGACAGTGGTGCAGGGGAAAGTGACCATGAACACATCAAGTTATGCGCGTTCTGTGCAGAGGTCATGAAAATCTAGGGGCCTGAGGGGCCTGGAAGGCCGTCTCTGAGGAGGAGACATCAAAGCCATGCCTGAGAGAGGTGGGGACAAGATCCTAGGCAGAAGGCAAGGCGCGTGAGGAGGCCTTGGGGCGGGAAGGTGCCTGTCCGTGGGGTTGGTGTCGAGTGGGGGAAGGAGGAACCCACAGGAGGAAGAGGAGTGGGCCGGGGAGCGGTGTGGCAGCTTGCTGGGGCGCCCCGCGGGCAGCCTTTCCCACGGGGATTATCAGGAGGGGACTGCGGGACCATGGTGGCTGCCAAGATGAAGCGGGGCGAGGAGCTGTTTCCAAGGCTCTGAGTGACTTCGTGAGGAAAGCACAGCAGAGACAGGGCAGGAGCACCATTTAGAGTGCACAGGAAAGTGAGGAGCCTGGGTCAGGGCCAGGGCAGAATGAGTGCTTCTGGCACGTGTGAGGCTGGCATCACCTGTGGGGTACTCCGGGGAGTGGATGAGGTGAACCCCGACACATGAGGGGCCTGGGATGCAGAGGGCTCAGAGTGCAGATAGGCGGGCCTCAGAGATGAAACCTCCTGAGCACCCAGGACTGCTGCTGGCTGGGGAAGGTTGCAGCCCTACCCTCCGGAGCCCAGATCCCTGGGAAGAGCGGGGAGCCCAAGGCTCATCCTGGATGGACTTCCGGTCCACATGGGAGACCCCACTCCTGAACCCCCACACATAGACACACTCAGCATCCTGGGGTCTCCAGCTCCCAGGACGGATGTGCCCCACAGCTGACCTTGGAGCCTCTCACGCTTACGCCTCTGCTGTGCCCCACACTGCACCCCCTTGCGTTTGGGTGGGGTGGGGCCTAGGGCTAGGGTGGAGGCACTGCTGCTTTTTAAATTTCTGGGGTGGGAGAATCTCCGCGGCCAGGCCATAAAGGGATACAGGTGGGCTGCGCGGCTGGTGGGGGTTCGTGGTGGCCTCACGCAGCTTCAGCCACATCACAAGAAAACGTGGACACCCTGCTGCCCCTGCCCCTGCCCGAGAGAATCCCCAGTCGGGACTATTCTGTCATCTCCTGATACTGAACTACTTAAGACATATGCAGTTTTAAATTATCCATGTGTGCGCGCCTGTTTTTGGAGATCTGCTTCCCAGGAACCATAAAGCCGGGGACACAGCCTGGTCTACCTTAGTCCGACTATTTGTCAGCTGTGTCATTTGGGAAAATTCCCCGCGTCTCTGTACCTCAGTTCCACTTCCAGAGAGTGCGTACAATGATGGCACCTACTTCCTGGGGCTGCCCACGGTGTAGGTCAGCACGTAGCTATGTGCTACTCCTAATAACATCTGCTTTGGCTTCTGGCCCTTGAAGTGGGAGGTGACTGGGGGTGGGGTGGGCAGACAGGAACTTGAGACTGAGGCCAAGCAGAGTGCCCACGACTGCAGTCTGATGCCAGCCTGCAAGTCAGGCAAACCCATCCCACTTCCTGGTATTTCAAGTCAACAAGCTGGGGTTGCAGGGCAGGGATTCCAGGACCGGAACCCTCATGAGGCCTTCGAGAGGACTCCAACTTCTACCCTGTGGGTGGCTCTTCTGGTGAGGAGAAATAAACACTATCAGCCTTGCACTTCAGGCCTCTGCTGCTGCAGGGTCCCCAGCTCCGAGGGCTCCAGGGCAACTCAGATTGTGCCTTCCATAGCTTAGGTGCAACTGGAAGCCAGATGTGATGGCGCACGCCTGTAATCCCAGCATCGAGGCTGAGGCAGGATTGCTGCAAGTTTAAGGCCAGCCTGAACAACACAGTAAGTCCGTCAAAAAAAAACAAAAAGGCATGCAACTGGAGGCCAGGTGTGGTACACATGCCTCTATCCCAGCATTCTGGGAGGCTGAGGCAGGGGATTCCAAGCTCAAGATCAGGGCTGGGGATTTAGCTCAGTGGTTCCACTGCCTGCCTCGAAAGCACAAGGTCCTGAGTTTGATTCCTGGTAACAAAAAAAAAAAGTACTGGCACAAGTTCGAGATCAGTCTGAACAACTGATTTAGCAAGAACTGATCTCAAAAAGTTACTGGGTTTAATCCCCAGTACACACACACACAAAGTGCAGTTGGACATCTCATTGAATCCTGACCTTGGGCCTGTAAGCACCTATACCCAGACAGGGGACATAGGCAGACGGAGCAGACCTTGGCGGAAGAGGGCACATTATGCACATGGGAGCCAGACCAGAATCTCCCATAAGCTTTCAACAACAAACAGTGCCGTCCTTTCCTACCTGTCTCCCTGGGCCTCAGAGGGGAGGCGACAGCTCCACAGCAGGATGGGTTTGAATCAGCATTATCCATTCCTGGATCGATGGCCCTGAGAAGCGATACCACCCCTCTGTAACTCAGTTCCCCTGTCCTGGAAAATGGAGGTGTAAGTAACAGTGGCCGCCACCCCTGCTGTCCCAGCACTTCGGAGGCTGAGGCAGAAGGATGTCAAGCTGTAGCCCAGCCTGGGCAACTTAGCAAGCTTCTGTTTCAAAATCAAAAACCAGGACCTGGAATTTAGCTTAGTGGTGCTGCTGCCTGCCTCACAAGCACAGCGACTGAGTTCGATCCCCAATACCAAAAAACAAACAAACAAACTAAAGGGCCTGGGATTTAGCTCAGTGGTGCCACCACCTGCCTTGAAGGCGCAAGGTCTTGAGTTCAATCCCAGGGGTGGGGATGGATAAAAAACTAAAAATAAGCTGGGGATATAGCTCAGTGTGAAGGCCCTAGGGGTCAATATCAATCCCCAGTACTGGGGGGAAAAAGTGCCCGCCGTGGAGTTGCCAGCAGGATGCGTGAACAGTGCTGAGTGTGGCACTCAAGCAGCTTGGCCACGGTCAATGCTAGTATTTGGGTACTGACTGCTCTAAGTTCGCATCCACTCCCCCAGTTCACAGGGCAGGCTGGGGTCTCTCAGACACTGCTGTGTCCCTAGCTTTGCAACACAGGGCTAGGGAATGTTTCCTGATGGAATAAATGAAAAATAGATCCAAACAATTTCAAACAAGGACATTTCTAACCTGTGCACTGTCTGGATGGGACAGCGAGGCCCTGGCCTCAGCCCCACGCCCAGCTCCCTCCCTCCAGCCTGTCTTACTCACAAGGCTCTGGGGGTTTGACTATACCCCAAGAAAAGAAAATAAGGGCGTGGGGGGTTTACAAAAACCCCAAAAAAAAAAAAAAAAAAAAAAAAAAAAAAAAAAAAAAAAAAAAAAAAAAACTCAGCACTTTATTATCACTACCATCACAAAGGACAGGTCTTCAGAGGAAGGGGCAGAGGCCCCTACTTGCCGGCAATGAGGGGGTTCCGCAGCACCACAATGACAGAGTCCCCACGCAGGAACATCTTGGAGATGTAGCGGTCCTTGTTGACTGGCTTGGACTTCTTCTTGCCCTTGCCACTCTTGGGGACCTCGGTCCACATCTCCTTCACGTTCTCTAGCACCATGTTGCAGTGCCTGGTGGGGCAGGGATGGGGAGGCAGAGGAGTGAGGGTGGGGGGCTTCTGACCCCCTCCAGTAGCACTGAGCTGAGAACGGTGCAGGCCCTAGGCCAGGAGGGCGGGCTGCCAGTGCCATAGCTGCACATCCTTTTGTTTTTTGAGATAAGGTCTCACTATGTAGTTCAGGGTGGGCTTGAACTCACTATGGAGCCCAGGCTGGCCTCAAACTTGCTGGGATCCTCCTGCCTCAGCCTCCCAGGTGCTGGGATTACAGGCTGAGGTTTGGATCAAGGACTCCACACCCCTGTGCTCAGTTTGCTCCCCTCTAGACAATCTGCGCCTTCTCCAAGGGCTGCCTGAAGATGGCACAAATGAATACGGCATCTCTGTAAGCACTAAGAACGGAGCCTGGCACAAAGCACACATAGCTCCCACTGTGCCCTGAAGTCTAAGTACTCGGGGCAGCAGCAGAGAAGCACCAAGCACCATCTGTCTCAGGACCCAGAGCCTCTGGGGTGCTGGGGACAGGGGCACAAAGCACACATAGCTCCCACTGTGCCCTGAAGTCTAAGTACTCGGGGCAGCAGCAGAGAAGCACCAAGCACCATCTGTCTCAGGACCCAGAGCCTCTGGGGTGCTGGGGACAGGGTGGCACTTGACACCTGCACCACCCCTGCCCACACAGCTCCGGGTGAGTACGTGGGACAGCAGCACGGTCAGCTCCTTCAGCAGATGCTCGTGAGTGCAGACAATGAGCATGGATTGAAACATAGCCACCAGGGCAATGACTAAAGCAGACGACGTCCCTGTCCTCAGAGCTCACGCATTCTAGCCAGGGCAGAACAAGAAATGAGAGAGCAACAGAGACCTGTAACATACTGTCAGGTGATAGTAACTGCTACAAAGAGTAATTAGCTGTTTTGTTTTGTTTTTGAGACAGGGTCTGGCTACAGAGTTCAGGCTGCCTTGAACTCACATACAGCCCAGGCTCGCCTCAAACTCATGGCAATCCTGTCTCAACCTCTCAAGTGCTGAGATGACCGGTGTGCACCACCATGCCTGGAAGTAATTTAGCTTTGAAAGAGGTTGCTGGTTTAACCAAGCCAACTAACATACATTTGATGGGAATATTAGCAGTAAGAAGTAAAGACTGAAAGCCGGGCGTGGTGGCACACGCCTGTAATCCCAGCACTCGGGAGGCTGAGGCAGGAGGATCACTGTGAGTTCGAGACCAGCCTGGGCTACATAGCAAATTCCAGTTAAGTCTCAACTACATAGCGAGACACTGTTCCAAAAAACAAACAAACAAAAAAGGAAAGACTGAGGGCACAACATATGCCTATAATCCTAGCACTCAAGAAGTTGAGGTAAAAGAAGAAAAAAGAATTTGAGATAAGAGGATTGCAAGTTTATGGTGAGCCTGAACTACACAGTGAGGCCCTAACTCAACAGAAGTCTAAGGGCATGCTGTTTCGCTATGCAGGAATCTCCAGGGGACACTTGGGAAATGAGACAGGCAGGATAGAGAACAGCAAGCACAAAAAGTTACATTCAGTAGGAAACAGCAGGCTCAGTGCTGGGGTGTAGCTCAGTGGCAGCGCACATGCCTAGTATGCATAAGGCCCGAGGTTCCATTTCCAGCACCAGAAACCAAAGCAAAGCAAAAATCACAAGGAGGAGAGGGATAGGAGAACCACCACCTGTTCACTTGTTCACTTCTACAATGCAGAATCTGTGGAATTGGTTTTTTTTGGGGTTTTTTTTTTTTGAGACAGGGTCTCTATGTAGGTCAAGGGATCATACTGACTCAGCCTCCCCAGTGTTGGGACCACAAACATGTGCCACCACACCTGGCCTCTGGAAGATTCTAGAAGAGCAGTGGGCCAAGGGGTGGCTTACGTAAACTGAGGATGGGCCTGGAAAACTTTTCAATGGATTATTATTAGCTTTGGGAGTCATGTGAACATATTTACAATTCAGAAAAAAGCAAGTTAAAAAAAATAGCATACCCAATGGGGGAAATTTTCAAATTTTATTCAATGCAAAAAACAAGGTCTAAAGTTGATGTGTCACCAGCAGTGGCTTCAAACAAACCATAACAAGCCCTTGCCTCTTTCCACATTTGCGGTGCTATAGTAAAGACTCTGGGGAGGAGACCCATGAAATTAGCGCCCCAGTGGTGCCTGGGGGCCGGTGGGGGGCAGCAAGAGAGGAGAGACTTCCATGGGTGCCTTTGACTTGTTTGGAATTCTACTGTGCCTGCAAACACTACCCCTCAAGAAAGTAACATAATTAGGCAAATAAATGGGAGGGGGTGCCTCAGCTGATTTGCAGTGATGCTCTCAGATGTTGGTAATATGTGAAGAACATGATGCAGAAGAGCACAAGGAAAGCTCTGTTTTAAAAATATCTTGTGAAGGCCGGGGATTTAGCTCAGTGGTTCCACCACCCGCCTCACAGGCACAAGGACCCCAGTTCAATCCCTGATACCAAAAAATAAATAAAAACAGTGTGTGGTTGGTACTATGACATCAGTTACACTTCCGTAAAGTTCTGACAGCACAACACACACACTACTAACACCACGAGGGATCCCCCGAATGCACCTGCTTCACCAAGTGTGAGTCAAACGTGGCTTGACGGGGTGGCAGGCTGGATGGGGCAGAGGGGTGGACAACTGCACGGAGGCAAAGAAGCTGGGGAAAAGGAAAATTCAACTTCAAAGAGGTGGGTAGGAACAATGTTTATCTCCAGCCTGGAGAGCAGACTGAGGAAGAGTGGAATAAAGTGACTTGTCCAAGGTCATACATTTTAGAAGTGAAACAGCCCGCGTCTGAGTCCAGGTCTACTGTCTTCCCGTGCTCAGCATTTCCTGTTCTTGCCCTCATTTGGCTCAAGTGGAAACTGAGGCTCAGAGTGTGGGTCCCAGCCAAAGTCAGCGGCAAGAGCATTGGCAGATTCAGCCTCACACTGGTATGAGGACAGCACTTCCTGAATGCTAATAAAAGCCTGCAAGGTACGGGCAGGCACAGCAGCACAACTGCAATCCCAGCTGATCAGGAGGCTGTCTGAAGCTAGCCTGGGCAACTTAACAAGACCCTGTCTCAAAACAAAAACTGAAAAGGGCTGGGGGGTTAGCTCAGCTCACTGGCAGCTTGCTCCTGGATTCAATCCCCAGTGCTGAGGGAAGGGGGACAAAGGTTACAAATTATGTTTCATTGAGTATTTATCACATGTTCAGTACCGAGCCAAGTGCTTTTCACAAGTACTATAATCTGTTCTTTCTCTGGTGGCCCTCGGGATCAAACCCAGGGCCTTCACACTGAGCTATACTCCCGACACTATTTATTCACTGTTTTGAGACAGGGTCTTTTTTTTTTGTACCGGGGATCGAACTCAGGTCCTTGTGCTTTCAAGGCAGGTGCTAGAACCACTGTGCTAAATCCCCAGCCCCTTGAGACAGGGTCTTTACCTTGCTAAGTCACTCAGGCACACGCTTGGACAGCACGAAGGGAACCGAGACAGCCACACCACATAATTTTAAAATGCTTCTCCTATTCCACACCCAAGCTCTTTTTTTTTTTGAGACAGAATCTCACTATATAGCCCAGGCTAGCCTCAAACTCTTGGTGATCCTCCTGCGTGCTCGGATTACAAGCCAGCACTACCATGCCTGGCCTACACCCAAACTTCTAAGAAACCTTTCTTCAGCTCCTCAAGACAGGAGCTAGGGATGCTTCTCCAGACCTGGATCCGATTCCTCCCAAACCCCGGGTGCTCACCTGTCAAAGGCCTTCACACGGCCCAGGAGTTTCTTGTTGTTGCGGCAGTTGATGAGCACCTGGGTGTTGTTCTTGACTGACTGGGTCAGCACAGAGAGTGGACCTGTGTTAAATTCCTCCTCCTCCCGCTTCTGAAGCTCCTCTGGGGTCATCTCACTCTTGGGCTTGTTGAGGAGGCTCCTGAATAGACAAGGATGGAACCACAGGTGAGAAAGGCTTAGGCTGGGAGCATGGTTTGTCATGGCTTTTCACTCTGTCTCTTCAACCTTGCTCCCACCACCCACCCTGATACCCAAGTCTTCTCTCTGGGCACAAGCGCCCGATACCTGATAGACATTTCCAAGTGACCAGGTTGAGCTGCAGATTACCTGACCACTCCAACCCACTCTACCCCCACTGAAAGCAACTTCATTGCCCCAGTTCTCTGTAAATACTCGATGTTCACGTGACATGTCTGGTCCTCTCATACCCTACATCAAATCAACTGGCGAATCCTGCCACCTACCTCTTAAGATCAACATTGAACCCACTCACTGAATTTGATTTAGTTCTTGTGCCATTTGGTTTGCAACCAGAATCATGGAAAGAGTTAATTAAATTCATGAACTGGGCTATCACTGTATATCCAGACTCCATACCCTAAATCTCCATAATCTTTTTCCTGGAGTCTTACTGGTCTCCTTGGCTCCACCCATGTCTGTCACCTGACAGTCTGTTCTTCATAGATCAGTAGGAAAGGTTGTGCTAAAACCTAAACCATATTACGTCACCCTTCAAAACTTTCCCATACCTCTCATCTTGGTGCAGAAGGGAAAACCGAAGTTTTCACAATGCCCTACATCTACCGGCTCTCACACTGTTCCAGCCACAGTGACCTCCTGGGTGGTCTTCATAAGATAAAAGGCAGACTTTCATCTTAAGACCTCTGTTTGCTTTTACCCCTGCCTAGAACTTCCAGGTATCTGTATTCTCCACTCCTTCACTTTCTTCAGGTCTTTGCTCAAGCGTAACCTTCTCAATGTGTCCCTCTGTGACACTGTCGTCATTTTCCATTTTGTTTCCCTACTAGACTATTTCAGAATGGCCTTGAACTCGTGACAATCCTCTTGCTTAAGCCTCCCAAGTGCTGGGGTTACAGGTGTGCTCACCCATTTCTTTATTCATAGCCCTGTACACCTAACACACTACAGTCGTTTATTGTTCTATGGTCCGAGTACCCTGCTCCCTTTATAACCCATAGCAGCACATTTTTTCTTGGGGATAAAGACTTCTCATTCATGTATCCCATGTGTCTGACATGTGAACACTCAACGTAATATTTCCCGAACGAACAAACTGCAAAATCATTCCTGGGGTTCATTATGGTTAAAGTCGCAAATCAGGTCGAAAGGCCACCCGACGGCAGCTTAAATTATCTGAATAAATCCATACCTCAAATCGTTATTTCTTATAGTCCTCACTTTCCTCCCCAGGGCTTTTTATTCTTAAAAATCGCTTCCCCTTAAAATTTGTTTCAACAAGAGCATCTCGAAGAGCTCCCAGCCCCGTTAGGTGATTAAGACAGCCCCTCTCAGCCGGGCGTGGTGGCGCACGCCTGTAATCCCAGCACTCGGGAGGCTGAGGCAGGAGGATCGCTATGAGTTCGAGACCAACCTGGGCTACACAGAGTTCCAGTTCAGTCTCAACTGCATACTTAGACCCTGACACACACACACACACCCACACACACACATACACACACACAAAGATATCCCCCCTCCAGAACTCGAGCCGTTGAAGGCCCCACACCCTGCTCGAAACCCTCAAGAGAAAAGTACGCCACTTTATCCCTAACCTCTTGCCTCTGGCCCCCGGCCCTGCTTACCCTCTCCTACCGTTAATCAGTCAAGTTTACAACGTCCCTCCCGCCACTTAAACCCAGCCGGGGCTCACATGGTGGCTGCTGTAACCACAGGTCACTCCCGTTTCCTCTGCGTTGCTCCGCTTTCTGAGGGAAGAAGGGCGGGACTTCCGCTTCCGGCGACTCACTTCCTTTGGCGCCTGCGCAAATCCAAACCGCGGATAAGGGCGTGGCCTGTTACCACAGAGATCCCTGCCCGCTGCACAGAGACGGAGTAAAAATTTGAAGCAGTGGTTCGAGGCCACTCAGGACAACACAAGACAGATGCTCACGACAATGGAGAGGAAAAATAAAGGGAGCCCAACTCAAATCCTTTTGTTGTAGAAAAGTATAGGTTGAAAAAAGGAAGTGACGTGCCTGTCCCGTCCTCAGGGGCGCGGCCTCGGCGAAGTCAGTCTGCTCCTAGCTTCAGGGCTGCGCACCCTCCTCTTTTTCTTAGGGACGGCTCCCCGAAGTGTCTATTGATATTGTGGCTGTGGCATCACCAAGCCTACATCCGGAAGGGCCCCAGCCTGTGCACTAGAGAGGCTCCACGATCAAACGCTGCTGATTGGCTCTCTCCCCTCGGAGGCCGTCCTTACTCCTTTCCAGCTCCCTCTTGGGCTGTGCGGCCCTTAGGAGAACCAACGCCAACACCCGAGGGAGGCAGCGAGGCGTGCCCTCAGGATGCCATTGGTTTCACGGCTCATTGGGTGGGAAGTGCAGCCGCTCTTGTTGCTCATTGGTTTTGTGATTCAGTGGGTGGAACTCGGCCGGGCCTAAACTCCATCCGCGGCTGGGGACCGGTTTCAGGCACAGCTGCCATGCGTTCCGGGGGCCGCGGACGGCCCCGGCTGCGGCTCGGAGAACGCGGCCTTCTGGAACCACACTCACTGCCCAAGCGCCGCCTGCTACCGCGGCTGCAGCTGTTGCCGCTGCTGCTGGCTGTGGCCGTGGGCTTGGCGCTCTACATCGTCTGGAGCGGCTGGCACCGCGGCACTGAGGAGCTGTCAAGGGGCCGGGAGTTGCGGGTGAGGCCAGGCGGGGCTCCGGGCACCTGGGGACCTCCATTTCCCACTCCCGCTTTCAGAGTCTCAGGTTGACGTGGCTGTATCGTATCGCCTTAGCCGCAGGTGATCCTTTCTTTCTCTGTCATTTGCACGCTTTCCCAGTACCCAGTGAGGCTTCGCGCTCGTTCTGTAATAGTTGCTCCCGCTTAAGAAGAGTCTGCTCTGCTGTAGTGAGCTTGGGAGATCTGGGTTCCACGCCTCAAGTCAATCATTTGGAAGAACCCCTTCCTCCTACCAGGGTCCGATTTGTCTGTCAGGATTAAGGTAGTTTTGACCAGAAGGGCTTGGAAGGGACCTTTCCCAAATTTAGGATTTATCCTAGATGCCCGAGGGCGCTCATTACCAAGAGGATTCAGAGCTCAGGGCGGCCACAGCGCCCGGGGTAGGGTCAGAATGGGGGGGGGTGCTCTCATTTTTCTCTTCCCCATCTTACCTCCCTTGAAGGCTCCGCTAGTTGGAAACCTCCCTGAAGCAAAGCTGCGGAAGGTGGTGGGACAGCTGGATCCTCAGCGGCTCTGGAATACTTATTTGCGTCCTCTGTTGATTGTTCGAACCCCAGGTAGCCCCGGTAATCTCCAAGTCAGAAAGGTAAAGGCATTATATGGTACTGCCCAACACCCCTCCCTTCGCCAGGCCTCTAGAAAATGGAATTAGACATCCTGTCCAAGATACTAAAGCAGATAAAAGGCAGAACTGGGGCTGTGATGGGAGGTAATTGGACTCGAGTCCCACATAACCACAGGCTGCATTTGTCCCATCAAAAGCTAAGTATGCACTAGGGACAAGCAACAGACAGCCCTGGGTGGTGAGAACCAGTATGATCTTCACACAGACAGTGAAACCAAGGCCAAGATGCTATACGTTTTGCCTATGTCCCACAGCTAATAGGTGGTATCACATCCCTATACTGCCTTCCAGATACTGTGTCTGGTCCCACCTCACCTTGGATTTCTTTCTTCCTTTTTTTTCTCTTTCTTTCTTTCTTCCTGGTGGTGGTACTGCGAATGGAACGCAGGGCCTTTGCACTAAGCTGAGCTATACTACGACCACTTCTTCTTTAAAATTTTCAGGGCTGGGGGTTTAGCTCAGTGGCACCACTCGTGCCTCGCAAGCACAAGGTCCTGAGTTCGATCCGTGGTACACTCCCCCCCCAAAAAAAATTCAGATGGTCTTTCTAAGGGACTAAATTGCTGGGGCTGGGCTTGGGCTTGCACCCTTCCTGCCTCAGCCTCCCAAGTGCTAGGATTACAGATGTGCAACATTGTATCAGGCTGTTTCTTAATCTCTCTGGGACTCAGTTTCCCCTCTACAAAATGCATTGGCAATCTGTATTCCATAGGACTTCTAGAACAGGGCGTGGCACATAACAAGCACTACTGAAGAATAAGCCATGATTAGTGTTGTTGGCATCAGGAGGTGGATCGCCCCAACATCTGGCACCCAGTAGGTATTGGGCAGGAGTGAGTCAGAGAAATAACCCCTACGTGGGGACTTTTGAGTCGACCTGACTGCTCTGCATGGGTCAGGTCACATGGCCCTTCTCCCCACCTCCTCCCCAGTCCCTTTCCACCCTCCCACCTCTCTCTTGCCACTAGTTCCTGGAATCCACACTGCGGGCCCTGACAGCTGGCTGGCATGTGGAACTGGATCCCTTCACAGCCTCAACGCCTCTGGGGCCACTGGACTTTGGGAACGTGGTGGCTACACTGGACCCAGGAGCTGCCCATCACCTTACCCTCGCCTGCCATTACGACTCGAAGTTCTTCCCCCCGGGCTCAGCCCCATTTGTGGGAGCCACGGATTCAGCTGTGCCCTGTGCGCTGCTACTGGAGCTGGTTCAGGCTCTGGATCTGCTTTTGAGGAGGGCCAAGCAGCAGGTGAGGAATAGGAGCTGGGGAGTGGTGGGCCACCTCCACCCTTCTCCTCCTTGCCTTTGTCATCCATGTCTCCTCTGCCCAAACCTTCCCGTGGCTTCCCCCAATACCAGAACCCTTATAGTGTCCCCTGACGTGCACTGTTACCCCTCTTGCCCTTCACCCCTCACTCACTTTGTATAGTCACATCCACTCTTCATCTCTCAAGCCCACCTCGGGACATTTGCACTTGCCCTTGGCTCTACATAAAATAGATTTTTTTTTTTAAAGAATAGATTTTTTTTAAAGCCATCATGATGCTTGTAATCTTAGCATTTGGGAGGCTGAGGCAGGATGATTGCTGTGAGTTTGAGGCCAGCCTGAACTACATAGTGAGACCCTGTCTCAAAGAAAAAGAAACAAAGGTTTGTTTTTTTCCTCCTTCCTGACTGGTTCTTGCTTTTTATACAGGTGTCTACTCCAAAGTTATCTCTTCAGGGACCCCTTTCCCAGCCACCCTAAAATAGGTCCCTTGGTCTCTATCTCATCCATGGTTTTCTGTTGATTGGTTTGCCTGACTCCTCAGGTAGAGTAAGTTCCATGGAGGCAGGGACTCACGTTTCTTTTGTTTCTTGCTGTATCCCCTTGGTCAGAATACAGCCTGGCATAAAATGGGGTGTCAATAAACATTGGTGGAATGGCCAGGGATTTAGCTCAGTGGTGCTTCGCCTGCCTTTCAAGGTCCTGAGTTCGATTTCTGGTACAAAAAATTGTGGAATGAATAAAGGAATGGAAGTATAGATCACATCATGCTTCTCCCCTCCTCTCACCCTTCCATGGATCCCCAGTGTCCCTATAACAAATACCAAACCCCTTGGCCCTTGCTAACCCTCTGATCTCTGAAACCTCTCTACCTGCTCCCGGGCCCCAGCCTTGATCCATATTGCTCCTTTGACTGGGAACGCGCTTCCCTCTGCTCCAGTGTGCAACCCCAGAGCCCTCCCTACTGGGTCCCACCAAGCCCCTTCCTGTGCTCTCTCAGCCCTCTAATTCTTGGAAGCATCTGTCCTGACTGCATTTCACTGCGTATCATTCATTTGTGGGTCTCCCTCTCTTTTTATGTATTTATTTATTTTGCCAAACTGAGCTTGAGGAATAATTATCAGATCTAACCCATCTTTAGTTTTTTGTTCTGTTTTTTTGGCGGTACCGTCTTTAGTTCTTTATGACAGGGCACATGGCACTGAGCTGGCCCTGGCCACCTGTTCCCCCAGGCAGCCCCAGTGACCCTGCAACTGCTCTTCTTGGACGGCGAAGAGGCGCTGAAGGAGTGGGGACCCAAGGACTCCCTTTATGGCTCCCGGCACCTAGCCCAGCTCATGGCGTCCATGCCCCACAGTCCTGGCCCCACCAGGATCCAGGCCATTGTAAGTCCAGGGTCCCGCTGCGTTCTGGTGAGGGAGAGAGAGGGAGCAGGGGGATTGGCAGGGTCCTGCTCAGCCCTCTCCAGTCCTGACTTCTTGCCTAGGAGCTCTTCGTGCTGCTTGATCTCCTGGGAGCCCACAGTCCGACCTTCTATAGCCACTTCCCCCACACGAACCGCTGGTTCCATCGGCTGCGTAGCATCGGTAAGCGTGAAGGCGGCGTCAGGCACCTACCTGGCTCATGGGAGGGCGGGCCAGGAACAGATTACCTCCACTTCCCGGTCTCTCTAAGGAAGGAGGGCAGAATCTTACACTCATGGCACGAAGGCCGCGTGGTGATTATAAATGAGCCACCCTGGTGTGCGACATCTCCGGTTTCAAATCCTTTGTCTGCCTCTTACTCCTTGGGAATGTGGGTTAAGAGTCTTCATCAGTCTGAGCCTCTGTTTCCTATCTGTAAAATGGGCGTGGTGCCAGTGATAATCTACCACATTCATTCACGGGGTGACCAGTGCTTTACTGCTGAGACTACCTGAGCCTTGCCCTCTGATCCCCACCCCCCTCTAGAGAAGCGTCTGCACCGTTTGAACCTGCTGCAGGCTCACCCCCAGGAAGTGATGTACTTCCAGCCCGGGGAGCCGCCCGGCTCTGTGGAAGATGACCACATCCCCTTCCTCCGCAGAGGTATGGCCAAGCAGGGAGGAATGGGGGCCGGTGTCCGAGGAAGTCACAGCTTGGGTTGGCCCTGGCCCCTTCCCAGTGCTGGGGACTGGTGGCGAGTGGTTCCCCTCTTCATGTATCAGTTTCTCCATCTATAAAATGGTATTGCACAGTGTCATAGCATACCAAGTACGCTAATGTGTGTAAAGAGCTTGTTTGGACCAGGGTCCAGCACAGAGCAGGCCTTCAAGAAATGTTAACTGTTACAATTTATGCCACAATGATTACAACACATATTCTTTGTTTTGTATTTGAGACAGTTAGTTTAGGCTGGACTTGAACTCACTATGTAGCCCACACTGGCCTCAAACTTGTGGTGATCCTCCTGCCTTGGCCTCCCAAGTGCTGAGATTATAGGACTGTGCCATCGTGCCCAGCACAGCATATATTCTTGATTTTCTTTCAAGGCTCTGGTGGCTTTGTAGAATCACCAAATGAACTTTAAAATATGCCCCGTCATATTGCAGGCCTACTGGACCACCATCTTGGGTATCTGCTTGATTTTTACAAAGTTCCCATGTAATTTTGATGCACAGGGTTGAAAATATCTGGTATAGGAGTTAAGAACGTGGGTTTTAGGTGGGCATGGTGCTGTATGCCTGTAATCCCAACACTCAGGAGGCTAAGGTAGCAGGATTGTGGAAAGTTTGAGGCCAGCCTGAACTACAGAGACCTTGTCTTAAAAAGACTAGAAAAGAAAAGCCAGGTGTCATAGCACAGGTTTGTAATCTCAGCACTCAGGAGGCTGAGGCAGGAGGATTGCCTCAAGTTCAAGGCCAGCCTGAACTGCATAGCAAGACCTTGTCTCAAAAAAAAAAAAAAAATTCCAAAGTTTCCTGCATGCTAGGTAAGTGCTCTAGCCTTAAGCTACCACTCACTGCAGATTGCAGAATGAGACAGGTTTGAGTTCTAGGATCTACACTGTTTGACTTAAAGCAGTCTGGTCTCTCACAGCCCCTATTCCTTCAGGAAAAAGAGAATATACACATCTGTGTTTTAATGAGAGAATTATGATGTCAGGTCTATAAAATGGCTGCTTACACAGTGCTTGGTATATAGGAGGTGCTAAAAACTGCTTTGACAAATTTATAATTGTCTTCCAACAAGAATACCTTCATTAGCCAGGTGTGGTGGCGCACATCTGTGATCCCAGCATTTGGGAGGCTGAGGCAGGAGGATTGCTGTGAATTCAAGACCAGCCTAAGCTACATAGCAAGTTTAAGGCCAGTCTAGACTACTTTGGTTAAAATGTCTTATTCTTTATTTATGTTTTCTTTCAGTGCTGGGGATAGAATGCTGGGCCTTGCATGTGCTAGGCGGTGCTCTACCACTGAGCTACACTCCAAGACCCAACAATGCCTCCTTTATTGATTCATTCAGGGAACGTGAAGGGAAAACCTGGGTGTGATGCCTCCTTGTAGTCTCAGCTACTCAGGGGGCTGAGGCAGGAGATAATTTGACCCCAGAAATTTGGGGCCAGCTTGGACAACACAGTGAGACTTCATCTAAAAAAAAAGTAAATTGAAGGTATTGGTAGAAAGTACTTACCTTAAAGGGTTTACAAAAAGGATAAAATGGTGTGTTCGTGTGGCCTAGTGCCTAGCACACAGCAAGTACAATATGAATGCTGTTAGAAAGAGGTCTGATGTGTACCTGGCATGGAAGATCAAGGACATCTTCCTCCTGATCTCTTCACAACCCATTAATTTTGAGTTCCTCTGATTTGTTACAAAAACAACATGTACCTCTCTCACACATGAACAAAAATTACGTTTAGAGATCAGCAAGTGCAGGAACAGTGTTTTGGTAGTGGCAGGGGGAGGTCAGGTTACCCAGCCTGGGCCTGGCTGGGGTCTGTGGTGGGCATGCAGGCCTGACGGCGTCTCCTCTCACCTGCAGGGGTCCCGGTGCTGCACCTCATCGCCACACCCTTCCCCTCTGTGTGGCACACACCCGGCGACACAGAGGCCAATCTCCACCCGCCCACTGTGCACAACCTCAGCCGCATCCTGGCCGTGTTCCTAGCTGAATACCTAGGGCTGTAGCCCGAGGGACCTTACTCTCAGGGAGCACCACCCGGAGAGTTCGCACCCAGGGTGCCTGGCACCAGCGGAGCCGGACTGGGCCCACCATAGGTGTGCTGGCTTCTCCCGTTCCACATCCTGGGCTCCTAGAAAGGACCCACTTTCCTTTGACTCTCCCAAGATGCCACCCTGCGGGGACATGGAAAGGACCACAGTGGCAGTGAGAGCCAAAGGAGTAACAGCTCGGTCCACTTGGTCTGAAGGTCTGCAGGGACCAAATGCTGTGCTTTCCATCAGCAAACTGTGGATAGCGTCTGGACCAGCACTACTCAACTAAATGAATCCTCTGAATCTGAAGTTTTCACATCAGTTCATGCTCCACTCGATGCAGAAAGGGAACCAAGGAGGTGGAAGCCAAGGCTTCAGTGCTCCTAATTTATACCTGAGCCAATGGGCAGTAAACCAGTGTTTTCAAGGGATTAGAGATCAAAGTAGCAGGTAAAACATTCAGTGAGTCTCCTCGCTGCATCATGGGAATTTTGCATAAGACAGAAGGCAGTGGTTCCCAAAGTATTTCACCATGGAACCTCTGTAAGAAACACCTCACAAAACCAGGGTACCTCAGAAGACACTTTGGGAAACCCTGGGTTTGGAACATCTGAGAGGGTTTCAGGTAAGAATGGGTCAGACCTAGATTCACTGCAAAGCAGTTACTCCAAACCACCCTTTCCTGTGGGTACACCAATGAGATGGTGGTGTACCTGCAAGGCCAGGGAGGAATTTCTGCCAACCCCACCTCATCCTCCGGGTCAGCTGTGGAGTTTATTAAGAAATGCAGACTTGGGCTGGGGATTTAGCTCAGTGGACACACACACACACACACACACACACACACACACACAGAGGGTCCTACTGTGTAGCCCAGAATGGCTTTGAACTCTCAATATTCCTGCCTTGGCCTCCTAAATGCTGGGACATGCTGTCCTTAAGGACATAGTGTGCCTACTCAGCTATTTAGCAAACCTAGTGAAAAATAAAACCCTCGATGAGGGAGCCAAGTTCAAGTTCAGGTACAACTCTGTAGAAAAGCTTGCTTAACAAGCCTGTGCCAGGGCCTGGATTCTACCCACAGCTAAAATGGAGGGTTAAAAAATTGGAGGTAGGGCTGGGGATTTAGATTTAGCTCAAGTGATTCCACCGCCTGCCTTGCAAATCCAAGGTGCTGAGTTCAATCCCCAGTACCAAACAAAACACTGGAAGTGAGCTGGGCGTGGTGGCACACTTCTATAACTCCTGTACTCAAGAGGCTGAGGCAGGAAGATCGCTGGGAGTTCAAGGCCAGTTTGAACTACATAGTGAGAACTTGTCTCAAAAAAAACAAAAATTAGGGCCGGGGATTTAGCTCAGTGGTTCTATTGCCTGCCTTGCAAGCGCAAGGACCTGAGTTCAATCCCCTGTACCCCCCAAAAAAATTAATTAATTAAATAAAATAAGTGAACATTGGTCTCCTGAGTTAACTGAAGGCTTCAAAAGACACAATAAACTTGAGGGCTGAAAGTCGGGTTATCAAACAAGGATGAAGACAGTCCTGGTTCGAGTTTTTCCTTGGTGGCTGACGTTCATGTGTCAGGCATAGTAAGCACTTACAGCAAATTCATTTCATTTTCCCCCAAACCCTGAGGTGGGTAGAGTTTCGGTTCTCACCAGCTGTCTGAAACTCAAAGCCTCACAGCTGTGCCCCCAGCCCCCACATCCCACCTCCCTTCTCCACCAGTGCTGGATGAAGACTTGGTTAATAAAACATAGCATGTGGCTTTTACCTTTTTCCTCCTGGTACTGGGATTGCACCCAAGGCCTTTGCACTGAGCTACCACCTCCCAACCAAGCCTTTCTTACTTTTTAAAACCTTGCCAGTGGTGGTGGTACACGTCTGTAATCCCAGCACTCAGGAGGCTGAGGCAGGAGGATTGCTGTGAGTTCAAGACCAGCCTGGGCTACATAGTGAGTTTCAGGTCAGTCTCAACTACATAGTGAGACCCTTCTCGAAAAATAAAAGAAATTTTAAAAATCTTGATACAGAGTCTTCCTATGTCCCTAAGTTGGTAAACCTGGACTTGAATGAACAATTTTCCTCCCTCAAGCTCCCAGAGTGCTAGCATTAACTGACGTTTAAATGGCTTTCTGCACATTTTTGGCTTGAGTTTCAAGTAAGACTTGTTAGATCCGTATTACAGGTGAGGCTGCTGATGTCCTCCAAGGTAATGTTTCCCCAGGTACCAAAGCCAGCAGACCTTGCAGCTCCCATTCAGACTTGACATATGGGCTTCCACAGCTTTGAGACCACGGGTGTTTTGGAAACACAGCTGCTGAGCACTCAGTGAAAGCTTCAGCATCAGCCCACCTTAATGCAAAAATCTCAAGGGTGCCAAACTCCAAAACTTTTTGAGCAGTGGAAAATACTACACCTCGGCCAGGGACAGATTGCAGTTACAATGCAGATGCAGATAGGCAAGGTGGCACAGAGCTGTCATTCTAGTACTGGGGAAGCTGAGGTGGGAGAGTTGCTCGGAGTTTGAGGCCAGCTTGGGCTACGTAGTGAGTTCAAGACCAGCCTGAACTGCATACCAGGACCCTGCCTCAAAAACAAAAAACAAAACGCAGGTGCACTAAAAGTACGGTAGAAAATTATCTTCAGGCTTTGTATATAAGGTGAATATAAAGCGTAAATACATGTGTAGTTTCATCTTAGATCTCATTTCCAAGATATATGTACACAAAAATAACAAAATTGGAAAAAACCCTAAATCTGAAACACTTCTGCTCTTAAGCATTTCAGATGAGGGATGCTCAACCTGCATTCTTTTTTTTTTCAGATTAAGAAACAGCTTCTGCTGGGCGTGCTGGCACATGCTTGCAATCCCAGTACTCAGGAAGAACTCTAGTTCAGACCAGACTACTAAGAATATAGTAAAACCCTGCCTCAAAAAGAGAGGAGGGAGACGGAAGGAGGAAAAAAGAAAAACAAAGTAAGCTTCAGAGGAACCAATTGCCTAAGCTCACAGAGCTGGGTGCCTCTGGGACCATGTGTCTGGGTGTACATTTTTTATCATTTAGTCTTTGCACCATTCTAATTCCGCAATGTATGGTAGCTTTTGCTCTATGCTTCATAACCTTCGAGTGTGTTTCTGTGCTTCCTATAATCAGCTTTATTTCAGTAAGCCTTTCTTTAGTTGTGTCTAATTTGCCCTTGAACCCAGTTGTGGAGTTTTTGAATTTTGGTCACTCTTTTTATTATTTCTGAAAGTATTACCTTTGGGCTGGGGATTTAGCTCAGTGGTTCCACTGTCTGCCTCACAATCGCAAGGATCCGAGTTCAATCCCTGGTACAGAAAACAAAAAAAAAAATCCAAAATGATAGTACCAAAATATTACCTTTGGGCTTTTTCCTTTCCAGTCTGCTAGGCAAGTTTTTATAGTTTGGAGTCCTCTGATTATTTCCGAGCTTCTCTTAAATTTTTTTATCTTTATAGCTGGGTATGGTAGGGCACGGCTGTAATCCCAGCACTTGGGAGGTGGAGGCAGGAGAATCACAGCAAGTTCAAGGCCAGCCTGCACTACAAAGCAAGTCCGTTTCAAAAAAAGACCTTATTTTTGTTTTTCTTGAGAAGGATCTTGCTATATAGTCTAGAAAGGCCTTAAATTTGCTATATAGCCAAGCTGGCTTCACATTTGATCCTGTCCTAGCCTTCAGAGCGCTGGGATTATAGCAGTGAACCACCATGCCTAGCTTCTTAAAAATTTAAACAGTTTCAGCTGTGTGTGTTGGTGAACACCTGTAATCCCAGTGCTCTGGGAGGCTTATGCAGGAGGCTTCAAGTTTGAGCAAGCCTGGGCAATTTTGTGAAACCTTGTCTCAAAATAAAAAAGAGGGGCTAGGGATGCAGCTCTGTGCAAAGTGCAGGGTTCAGTCCTTGCCACTGCAAAATGAAGTTTAAGATAATGTTACATGTTATAATCTGTGACAATCCCGCCACCTGAGGCCTTGTGGTTCTGTCTTGGGGAGTATTCCTGTTGGCTCTGCTTTCATGCATGTCTATTTCCTACTCATTGTCTGAAAAGTTACACGTGGGATTCTATTTTTTGTTTTGTTCCGAGATAGGATCTCACTGTGCAGTTCAGGCTGGCCTTGAGTGGACTCACAGCTTCACATTCATGATCTTGTCTTAGCCTTCAGAGTGCTGGGATCACAGGCATGCGCCACCACACTCGGCATTACTTGTGGGATTCCAGATGGCCATTACTACAGCTGTTTCTGATGGGCCTCTCAGCAAACAGTACCCTGGACCACACAAGGGTTGTGACCCTGGCTACAGGCTAATTCTCAGGGTTGATTTTTCCTTTGGCCTTGGACCCCCTCCTCTGCAGCCATTATCTTTACATGAGTTCAGTTTCCTGAGACCCCTGTACCTCTTAGTTCCTATGAGGTTCCCCACAGTGGGTAGGCTGTGGCTCTGACTTCCACCTATTTCTCCCCATCAGGCTGCCCAGTAGGAGATTCAAGTTTGTTTACATCAGTAAATGCCCTCAGACCAAAAGTGGCTTCAGGGCCCTTAAAATTCTGGCCCGGTGGGTCCTTAACGTATTTTAGGAACTATCTTCTGCTTTTAAGGAAATTTCTTAGGTCAGCTGTTTTCAGCAGGAGGGACAAGTAATCTAACCCACCCTTCATGAGAAACTGAAGCCCCATAAAATCAAGCCAAGATTCATCCATGTCTTTGATCCTAAAACCTAAACACTTAATAACTACTCTGACATCCTACACTCTCTGGAAATTGATTCCCTAATAAGAATGTCAGAGATTGCTAGGGCTGTCTCCATAGGTACTCTTTTTTGTCTTAATCCCCCCTTTTCAATTTAGTAAAACAATTAAGAAACTATTTTAAAATTTTAATTACAGGGATCTTTAGTAACAGGTCAGGCACATTGCACTCAGCTAAAAGACTGTATTTCCCTTAGCCGGGCGTGGTGGCACTGTGCCTGTAATCCCAGCACTCAGAAGGCTGAGGCAGGAGGATCACTGTGAGTTCGAGACCAGCCTGGGCTACAAAATGAGTTCCAGGACAGTCTCTCGACTACATAGTGAGACCCTGTCTAAAAAAAAAAAAAAAAAAAAAAAAAGACTGCATTTCCCAGCCTCCCTTGCAGCCCTGTGCATATTGGACTACACACTGACCAGCACTGACCAGGTAAGATGTATATGAAAGTACATATAGTGTAGTACTGGAAGGAGAAAGGGGCCTTCCCTGCCCACAGAAAGGAGGTGGCAGGAGTTCTCACAGCCATCTAAGACCACAGGATGAGGGTAACAGCCAAAGAATGACAGAGTAGTGAATTCACAGGGGCATGGACTGAGACCCACCATACTTGCTTAACACTGGATTTCTAAAGAAATAAAAATGATCTTATTCAGGTGACTACTATTTTGAGATTTTAAAATCCAAGCCAGCACAGATGAGAAGAGTCAAAAATAATCTCAGGCTGAGGAATGTGGTTACAGATCCCTTCTCTACTTTTTCCATCCCATCGTGCACACAGGCCCACAGTTCCCTTTTCACCCCAACCGCCCTCACCAACACACAGACCAGACTGGGCCCAGCCTTATAAATATTGATTTTATAGAAAGAACCAATTCAAAAATTGGCCAGACGCCACATGCTAGAATCTTCCAGAACCACAATGATGGAAAAACAAAACAAACACCCCAAACAGAACAAACAAAAATACCCCAGACCAAATCGCCTGAAAATCAAGGTCCCAATTGACCAAAAGGTTCTAAAGTAACCTGTTTGGGGTGATGAGACCCCAATGCCTCAGCAAGTACCCAGAATGGAAGGAAAAACCACCTAGAAATTCAAACCCACAGTCCCTGCCCTCCACGCTGTCAAGAGCGAGGCAAAGGGCTTCACAGCTTTACTGGGGGAGGAGTGTTGGCAAAGCTTAAATAATGGGGTTGGGGAGGTGTCCTGCACTCCAGGGATTTTTTTTTTTTCTTCCCTGTAGAGGAAGGGGAGATATCGGCAGATTGTGGCTAACAGAACAGTAACTTTTCTTTCTCTAAAGGGGATAACATCTAAAAATGATAGGCTGGCAGAAAAAAGTGCCAAGTTGGATCTGCGATCTAATGAACCCTAATTCCAAAAGAAGTGAGCCCTGGGACAGGAGGTTTGGAGGTACCAACCTGGGGTGCTGCAGCCTCTCCCAAGAAAGGGGCTCCAGAGGCAAAGAGCTGGAGGGCTGGAGGGAGCAAAGAAAGGAAGCCAGCATGGGGGAAGCCTTGGGTTGTACCAAAATTAGCTGCCGTCTGCTCCCTGCTGGTGGGTCCCTGGGGCGTAGAGAGTGGCAGGGAGGGTCCTGGGGCTGAATGGAGAAGAAATTGAGATGCTGATAAAAAAAACACCCTACTTGAGGGTCCCGGGCCCTGGGTCTAAAAAGTACAAAACCAACAGGAGTCAACCAGAGTGTCCTCTTGGGTCCCCCGGGACGCTGGTCTCAGTTCTTCTGGTGGGGGATCAATGCTGCCTGGACCGGGGGCTGGACCCTGGCTCCCAGGAGGGGGAGGGGGTGGGCACGGTGGGCTTCCCCTCCCCTCCCCGGCTTCACCTCCCCTCCTCCCGGCCCGCTCTGCCCCCACCCAGCCCATTGCAGGGCAGCACCCAGTTGTTATCGTGCAGGCCCAGGCGGCAACCCGGCGTCTCTCGATCGGCTCGGCGGCAGCACATCCAGTAGGAACGTCCGTAAGGCAGGTCATGGTGGTAGGGCTTGGGGTGCCAGCGGCACAGGGACACGTCACCCTTCTCGTATCTCTTGCGGCACTGCTTGCAAGGGTCATCGCGGTAGAGCGGGTCTCGGCTCCAGCGTGAGTCTGTGGCACGCACACCGAATGCCTCGATGATGCCCTTGAAGTGGTGGCAGGTGCACTTGAGGGCAGCCAGGGCCCTCGTGGGCAGGAAGCTGAAGATCTTGACCAGCACGTGCTCGGGCAGCAGCAGCATATACTGTCGTGGCTCCAGCAGCCGCTGGATCTTAAAGCGGATTTCTAAGAAGTCGTGCGACACGTGCCGATACAGGCGGCACAGGGAGGTGTCCGCTGTCCCCTCAGCATCGTCCGGGCCTGGCACCGCGGTTGGCACGTCCGCTGGGGGAGGCTCAGGGGGCCCATCTGGCCCCCGAGACTGGAGGAAGAAGAGCTGGCCGGGTGGAGGCGGCTCCTCAGGGCTGACTGTCAGGCACACTGTCTCCTCCTTCACATTCTTGGTGCCGTCCTTGCCGAAGAAGACGCACTCGTCCACCACGCCAGTCACCACCACGTCCACGTGGAAGCCTGAGGCTCCGCAGTCCCGGGCGGGGGGTGGAGGGGGGGCCGGGGGAGTGTCCTCAGGCCTGGCCGGGGCTGGGCTCTCACCCTCGCTGGCTTCATCCGCCCTGGCCAGCAGGAACTCCACGTTGCTGGGAAGGGCATCCCGGGAGGGGCTGATGAGCTGGTACAGGTCACAGGTGATCTTGTCTTTGGCTCGGGCCCCAGGCCCCGGACTGCCAGGGTAGGCACAGCCGGGCCGGCCCCCGCTCCCATTGGGTAAGCTGCCATCTGGTGCCCGGGGCTCCCGGCCATTGGAGATGCGGAAGGCGATGCGCACCTCACCCGGGCCTGGCCCAGGCCGCTCCTCCTTGCGGAGGCCCTTGGTTGGAGGATTGTCCCGCTGGGCCTCGAAGTGGGCCACGGCCTCAGCCACACGGCTGCAGTCACCACCACCACCGGAACGCCGCTCGGACGCCAGCCCCTTGGCAGGTCCGCCCTGCTCAGCTGACACAAAGACCACAGGTGCTGGCGTGGTGGGGCGCGGATAGCTCTGCAGGGCCAGGGCAGCCCTCTGTTCGACCAGGGCCACCATCTCGGCCACAGAGAGGAGATCAAGGTCCTCCCCAGAAGAGGTGGGGCCCCCCTCAGCAGCCGGTGGACCCTCCCGGCCCCCTGGGTCTGGAGGAGCCCTGCTGGGCTCCAGACAGCGCCTTCTCCGCTTAGCCTTGGAGCTGTCACTGCCCCAGTGCCCCTTGACCTTCATGGAGCTGGCCCGGCTACCTCCGCTGCACTGGTGTGCCACAAAGAAGGCCACTTTCTCCTTCGTGTTTCCTGGCTTGATAACATACCATGTGTCTAGCAGGACCCGGCCCTCATCACCTGCAGCAGAGGCTGAGAGAAGAGGAGCGGACTGGGAGCTGGGGGCATCGGCGGGCAACGCGGGTGGGGTATTCTCCGAGTGGGAGGGCCCATGGTCTGGCTCCGCCCCGCTGCCAGGCTCAGGGCAGGCTGGCGGCTTGAGCACAGCAGAAGGCGGGCGCGTCTGGTTCTGGGAGTAGGTGCCAAAGGGCCGGGGGCACCAAAGCTGAAAGGGCAGGAGACTGCCACGGTCCATTCTGGGCGTGATAGCAAACAGGCAAGGAGTTGCAGGATCTCAGGACCAGAACGGTGGGGGAGCTCCACATGTCACCTGGAGACAGAAAAGAAGGTTGGGAGCTGGAGAGAGGTTGGGAGGCTTTCCTCCCAGAATCCCTCCACCACCTCAACCTGTCCAGAGGGGACAAACCAAATGAGATGGTCACTAGCCACCCTGGGGTGGGTTGGGGTGTGTGTAGCTCAGGGGTAAAGCACCTGCCTGGCACCAGAGGGGCCATGGCTTCCATCTAGCACCAGAGAAAGAAACAAAAACAAAAAACAAACTCTACTCCTTCCCGCTACTCAGGTGCGTAAACAAGGATGCAGATGGGATCTCAGATCGGACTGTAACCCTAACTGGCTGCCTGCTCTGATCCCAAAAATCCATCCTACTGCCACTGCCCAACTGCCTTAGCTCACAGTTCAGAGACCTCCTGCTGCCTGACCTTTAAACTTAAGTGAGAGTACTCCTGGGCAGACAGGCTCCTCCCTCTTGTCTTTGCTCACCCAGTAGCCTGGTTCCTGAAAATAAACAACAGGAATTCCCAGCTCTGTCTACAGCTACAGCTGCTTGAGCTCACAGAGGGAGGAACAAGGTGGGCTAGGCAGGAAAAGAAAATCTGAAGTCAAAGTCAGACAGGCTTTTTTGCGGGGAGGGGGTTCATAAGACTCTTTGGGAATCTCCCCTTTTTTGGTACCAGGTATCGAACTCGGGACCTTATGCTTGCAAAGCTGGCTTCAGACCACTGACCTGAATCTCCAGTCCCCTCTTTGAGAATCTCTTAAAGCTGTGCATCCTCACCTCAAAAAACCACATTCTTGCAAAGGCTCTCTGGTCACTGAAGCACAGCCACAGAGTCGTGGGATAAGAAGGCTGTTCCAGTCTAGCTCCCTCCTCAAACTAAAGTAAACTGAGGTTTAGAATGAGGAAGGGTTACACAGCTAATGGCACTGTGGATCTGGAGCAAAGCCAGCTTCTCAAACTTGGTTTCTGGACTCTTTAGTTCAGGACTATCTTGAAAGTGGCTACTTCATTTTTTTATGTGCAGGACCTAATCTGGAGACCATTTTGGTAATGTATCTGATATAACTATTTTCCATTTACCATAAGTAGCAGAGGCCTCAGTCTCAATCTTTCCCTCACCCATTTCCTTCTAGAGAGCTCAAAAAAGGAAACCTTGCAAACCTCGTGCCTTCCACAAGCCTCTAAACCAGACCAGTCGGCGAACAATGGATCAAGGGCCAAACCCAACTCAATGTCCACATGAAAGTCTTACAAAACACGTTTATGGCTGCTTTCATGCTAGGATGGCAGAACTGTACCAGACTGTACATGGCCTGAGAAGACTGAAATAGTCATTATTTGGCCCTTGATGGAAAAAGTTTGCCAACTCTTGCAGTATATATAGACTGTTCCTCTAAATGTGGGCAGTTCTAGATAATCTGACACCATTCAAAGTTGAGACAGTCTCCACAGACATCACTAACAAAGAGCCCCAATACTGACTCCTTATCTCCCCAACGTGCCCCATGTCCAGAATCTTAAGCTCTCCCCCAAACATCCAGATCACTTGAAATCCTCCTTAATCACCCACAATATCCCCCAGCACGAAAGGACCCAATTTCAGAGAACCTCTCACAGATCCCAATGCAGCAATCTCCAAGTTCACAAACATTAGTCTCCTAACACCCCCACATAGTCCTTAATTACACAAAAAGCCTCCCACTCCTAAATAATACACAAAAGCTCCCTAAAACTTATGACGAATTCCAAAACCAAAGAAATAGTTCTCAAAGCCAAAAGGGACCCCAAAGAAACCTCACAAATGTTACAACAGCAAACACATGCTTATTGCATGAGTTCTGGGCACTCTTTGAACAACTGCTGTCCCTAGGAAGCAGGTAGTGTTAAGAGAAGTTCCTGCTTCCAGGTGAGGCACAGAGGTAAGTCTCTCCCGGGATCAGACACGTAGCAAAGTCAAGACAGATGAGCCCAGGCATTCTGGCTCCAGAGCTGGTACTCTTAGGTTCCTTGACCGCCTGCTGTCCCCTACCCCCACCCCCAGCACTGGTGGTCTTCCCTCTGAGCTACGTCCCCAGCCCTTTTTAAAATTTAAATTTACTGTTGTTGAGAAAGGACCACCCTAAATCACCAGGCTGCCCAGTGTGGGCTCGAACTTTCTACCTCCTGCCTCAGCCTCCCAGTGCGCTGGGATTACAAGAGTGCGTGCGTCACCACTCCCTGCTCCTCGATTCTAAATCTCCCCAGGAGCCTCCCAAATCCTACCTACCAAACCCCGAAACTGAAAAGGAGACTACCAAAACAGCCAAAGCTCGCGCGTTACAAAAGAACCCAAACCCTAAGGCGCCCTTTAAGCTCAAGGGAACCCCAACTTTCCCAAAACACAAAATATCACTTGAATGCAAAAACAGCCCCTCCCTGATTTTATAGCCGCCCCCTCAAAGGAACCTTCAAAACCCCTCGGGTGACCAGTAAAACCTAGACACGCCCCCAAAGCACCCTCACCCGCAGCGCCTCCCCCAGGCAGTGAAGCACACGCAGGCGCAAGAAGGGAAATGAGTGCCCGCCCCCTCTTGCAGCGGGCTGTGCCTGAGCTGGCGCTAGGACTACCTTCCCTCAGCCCCGCCCCTTTGTTGACAGACTCGCGCGTGACACCCTCAGCCAATGAGTGGCCTCCGATTGGGGTCATGCCCATATAAGGAAGGCATTGGCGAAGGGGCCCAACTTCGAAATGGGGAGGAGTAGGCCAGAGGTGACAGGAGGGGGTGATGGAAAGGAAACAGCCAGATGTAAGGGAGTGGGGAACAATTCCCAACGTCCAGCTACACGGAAATTAGGCCCAGACGCAGGCTACTGCACTCAAAGGAAGGCTTATTACTCCACGGTCCCTCCAGAGTGGAGCCCTGATTGACAGGTGAGATTTAAAGGGCCAGGGGGTCCAGGAATTGAGAACTCCCAGTCAGAAAGCAGTGCCTAGAGAGGTGCGACAGTGCCTCGGGAACCGTGGAAGAACGGAATCACGGCTAAACTTGGCACCAGAATCACCTCACCTTTTTAAAAAATGGGTAGAGGACTGGGGATTTAGCTCAGTGGTGCTGCCGCCTGCCTCTCAAGCTCAAGGACCAGAGTTCAATCCCCGGTACTGGCGGGGGGGGGGGGGCGGGGGGGGGG